AAATTTGATGTTTTTTTTTTTAATTTTTATTTTTTTAGAGATTACTTTAGGTTTAATTTTTATTTAGATATTTTAGTTTAATTCAATTAAGTCATGAATATTTTGTCGACCAGTATTTATCAAAAAATTTTTGAAGATCTTTTTAATGTAGGATAAGGAATTTATTTTTCTTATATGGATTTTATAGATTTCTGGCAGAAAATTGTATATTTTAGGAGCTAAGAAGGTAAAACATCTTTGTCCTATAGTTTTTTTTAATAACGGGGTCTTAACAAATAATGACGATTTTTGACGAGTATCATACAGGTGATCAATTTCATGTAATATGATTTCCTTATTTTTATATGTAAAAATTAAAACTGCATGGCAATATATCTGACGAATATCAAGCAAATTGGCCTCCTGAAAAAGTAGGTCTGTGGAAAAATGAAAAGGTTTTCTTAATAATAATTTTAGAAATCGTTTTTGGAGAATTTCCATACTCTTTAAGTGAACTTGGTACAGCCCACCCCATACAAGTATACCATATTGTAGCTTTGATTCAACGAGTGCATAATAAATAGTTTTTAAGTAATAAACACTTAAAATGGTACTTAAGTATTTAAATTTATAAAGTAAACTTCTTAGTGTTTTTGTTATATTTTGTACATGTTTGTCCCACTTTAAATTACAATCTATCGTAATGCCAAGATACTTAATATCATTAGCTTTTTTTATTATTGTATCCTTGTTATTTATATTGATTGTAATTAATTGATAATCGAGCATACTGTTATTGTAAGCAGCAAAGGGAATAAAAAATGTTTTTTCAAAATTAACAGTTAGTAAGTTGTGATTAAAACATTCCATAATTTTTTGCATATCATTTTCAATTTTTTTTTTGTAAATTATTCCATGTTTTACTGCTATAAATGATGGCAGTATCGTCAGCGAAACATAATATCTCACCAGATGTTTCTAAATTGAGTAGGCTATTTACGTATAAGGAAAACAGCAACGGTCCTAAAATAGTTCCCTGAGGTACCCCGTACTCAATATGTAAAACATCACTGTAACAATTCTTGGTTTTTACCGTTTGTGTTCTTTCTTTAAGGTAGCTTGTCATTAATTTGTGTGGTATACCCCTGATACCAAGATCATCCAAGACATCTAACAATTGAGCGTGTGACACAGTGTCAAATGCCTTGGCAAGGTCTAAAAATATGGTAATTGTAGGAATACTCTTATCTACCAAATTATAGATTTTTGATGTTAGTGTTTTTATAGCATCTACTGTAGACACACTTTTTCTAAATCCATATTGATTACTCGATATAAGGTTGTATCTATCTATAAAATTGTTCAGTCTTTTATTTAGAGCTGATTCAAATATTTTAGCTAAGCAAGTAATTAAGGAAATCGAGTAATTATATAAATTAATTATTGTGTTATACGGAGTGGCCCAAAAGTCTGGAAACGGCTAATTATCTCGTAAATTGCTTGTCCTAATTGTACAAAATTTGGGGTACACCTATTTTGGAACACGGAGATTCCAGATTTAATATTTGCGATGTTGCCAGATTTGCCGTTTCTCTTATATTATTAGTCACTTTGATTTTTCAAATTCATCACCCTGTATATTCAGTCATTATTGGAATCTCCTATTCAATACGAGTTCAACCATATGTAGCACTTATGATTTTATGTAATCTGGAAGGTCTTAAATAAGTAATTAGTATTTAAGTTTGAAATTATTCATTTGAATTACATTTTACGTGGTGAAACAAGATGATTCTTTTTATTAAAATTAAAATTTTGTATGATATATAAATTTTTACTCAAGCTGTCTGTTTTTTTCAATTAGATTTTAACAAAACCTAAATTGCTTAAATTACGAAATATTTATTTGTCATTCAACTTAAATGTTAAAATTCGTTATGAAAAGAAATTATTCACTGCTTAAAATTAAGATTCATTTCTCTTTTAAAATAGAACTTTTCATGTTTTTAATATTTTGCAAAATATTTAAGTTTTTCGTTACCTGAGATCTCATTTTTAATGTTTTAGCGCAAAAATACCACTTTCATGCACAGCTTGAAGAATCGAATTTCTTGTCTTGAAGAAATGTGTGCCTTTTCTTCTTCAAAGCACTACAGCGACATTTGTAGGGGAAGAACTAGCCTCAACGTTATGATTTTACCACGAAAATCAACCGGAAAATGGAAATAACTAATTTTCTTCCAATTTTAAGAAAATGTTTCAAAAGATTCTGACTTTTCTCTGTCTTGGATCACCCAGCCCCAATTGTTCAAACAGTTTCTATGGGAACCGAACCGAAAACTTTAACATATTATCTTATCAAGTTATTTTTGTCAGGTAAGTTGATATCTAATCCAACAACAATTTTTGGACCATATAAACCAGTCCACAACTTATTGTCGACGACTGATAGTCGGTGGCCTGTCCACGACCTGTCGAGGATTGGGACGCGATTCAGAACTTGGATGTGTTGGAACACATTTTTGTGTTATTAGACATACTCTGTTAATAACTTCAAATTAAAATCAAATTTAAAAAATGTAAAATTTTGAATTTGGGAAATAAAAAAATTATAAAACTTATGAAAAGATTTATAAATTTTGATTATTCGATTACATTAAACTTTATTTAGTTTAGTTTATTACCATTAAAGTCACAATAACAGTCCTTTTTACTTTCTTCACTTCATTACTCATTATTAATAAGTCAACCAGATACACGTGTACAATAATATATAATAATAAATTACGATCGATAATAGTAATATAATCCTTGGATCAAGACTACGATCGATGCTATGAAAACAAGTATAATCAATAAATTCCCAGAGTTGGTTGTGGTTTATTTACAAGCTCACTTTCGTTTTGCGCATGCATGTCTTGACAATTCGTTCATATTCACACCCAGGAACTGATTTGACAGTACAGAAACTGGTTTGTGATTAGGTTTGGGTGTGTTGGAACACTAGGTTTTTGTACAGTTTTGAGTCAGAAGTTTGTTGGAACACCAAATCTAGACTGCGCAGTATCCTGACAGTGCGTAAACCGATTTGCTATTGCGTTGGAACAAACCTTTATTTCATAATTAAAAATGTCAGATTATATACAGGGGAAAACAAAAGTCATTATCTTTTTCTTGGCTTTCACTAATAAAACTGTTCCTTTAATTTTTTATTACTTTTTAAATGTAAATGAGTCATTTAAATACTTATTCTACTTCTTAAAATTATTTACAAGTATTTTCAATTTCAATAAAATATGTTTTTTGCTGTCAGGCATAAAGTTTCGTAATTTTCTCTAATTGAGTTTATTAGTTTAATTTATTCATTAATTGTTAACCGACATGTTTCTATTTATTTATCGTTTTTCTCCTAATTATTTATTTTTATAAACTTTATTTTTTGTAGATTCCTTGTACTTTTTTGAAGAAAACTGTTTCCTGTGGTTTTTTTAACGGCTCGACTGATACTACCAGTGAAATCAGTTTTGTTCGTGTACAATATTCTCAAGGATTCATTTACAAGGTTGCAAATTATTGTTATATTGGTATCTCACAAACCTGTTAAAGAAAATTGCAAGTATTACATTATTAGTAAATTTTTTTATGTGTTATTATTTTATTCTTAATTATTCTCATTATGAGAGACTTATTTCGTCTTTTCTCCTTGTCAAACAAATTCATTTAACTAAACATGATTCATATTATTTATTAATTCTTGTTACTTTGTAGTTTAATATACACAGTGATTCATAACTTTAATTCTTTCTAAATTATACATGATTTTGAGTGAATTTTCATTAAGTTCAACTTATAGATTTAATTGCAAATAATAATTTCACGCGTAGTAGTAGCGTCGTTGCAAAATTTCGTGTCGTATATATAGGTATAATGTAACAAAAATATTATTACATCACACTAGTGGAATAAAAGATAATAAATCAAATGAAGGGTACAGCCCCTTATCAACATTTTTTGAAATTTCACAATAAAAGTGCCATTGTGTAGAAAATTATTTGGCCAATAATTTGGTATATTCCAAAACTAGATAAAAGGATCTCATTGAGTAATATTCTTACTAAAAAAAAATTCATTTACGTATAGAATGGGCTGATTGCAACTCAAACTAGCTTAGAAGGAGCACATTGCATGACAAATCAAATTAAAAGGTTTACATTGCGCACTAACAGAAAAAGAACGCCTCCATTGCCGGCCATTATTGCTTTAGTTTAGTTATCATTCTTACGCGTCCAGGGGTAGATTTAAGCTTTGTACGGTAATATTATTTTTTGTGAATATATTTACACGGAGAGTGCGCTATATTTCAAAAATGAAATAGGAGGAGAGTGATAATAACGAGAATGTCTTTGTTACAAAAAAAAAAAAACGAAAAAGAGAAAGTCACACGGACGTGTGCCAGAAGTGGAAAAGAAATGAAAAGTCATGAACCGGGACTACCATGTCGTTGCAGGATGCGGTGTTGTGACAAACTCCCAAAAGAAGTACGTTATAAAATATTGCAACATTTTAATTTGTTGGAATTACATAATGCTCAGAATAGTTATTTAAGCTGACTCATATCAGTATTGCGAGTGAAAAGGATTTAAAAAAATGTAAATTCACTTCACTATGACGCAGAGTACTTGCTATGTTGGATTCTGCAAAATAAATGCAGGTTTGAAAGAAGGCATTTATGTCAATTCACGGTATATCCAAGAAGAAAGTGCAACACTTAGTATCTAGTCTTAAGACAACAGGATTCGGTCCCATGGATAAAAGGAGAAAACACGGAAAGCACTTAATGCTAGATGACGAAATTAAAAGTCGAATATGGGAAAACAATACTTAATTCTTTCAAAGGTATTTACCGATGCATAAAATTTTATCTCATAATTAGGCTATTTTCTTTTTTTAGGACGTTCTAGCCACTACAGTCTTCACGACTCTGCAAAATTGTATCTTTCCGAAGAATTAAATGTAAAAAAATGCACGCTATGTTTCTAGCGGAAAATAATGATATCTCCATGTCTTATGAAACTTACAGGACTATATTCTGCAAGGATTTTAATATTGCTCTTAGCTTTCCGCGCACAGATACATGTAGCACTTGTGATAAATTTACACCGAAAACTAAATCTTTAGAAACAGAAAAAAAGAGTTCAAACGACCCCATACGTATAACATCACTAGATCGTGACATTCTCAAACTACACACCGCAAATAAGATTCATAAAATAAAAGCATCTACGTTTTATGATAGGAAACAAATTGCTCGGATTAACAGCAGGAATGCAACAAATGCAACTGAAGCCATTTGCCTAGACTATGGCAAAAATCTTTCCGTACCTAACATTCAAGCCAATGATGCATATTACAAACGTCAGCTTTCTGAGTACGCATTAAATATTCACGTATTAGGTTCATCAAACAAAAAGTATTTTCTACTTGTACCTCCTACCCAGAAACGAAGGGAAAAAAGGTAGTGACAATGTTTGCTCTCTACTTCACCACTTCGTCTATAACTTCATGAGGAATGGCACAGAACATCTAGAAGATTTTTGTAACTCTTGTAGCTGCCAGAACAAGAACTTCCCTGTGTATAGGTTCTTGCACCACTTGGTATACGTGGAAAGAAACTGGAATCCGTTAAGATGACATTCCCTTTAAGAGGCCACTCGTATCTTGAGTGCGATACAAATATGGGACTAATAAAAAGTACTACAAGAACTGAAATTCCTGACAACTGGATTCAAGTATTCAAAGATGCCTGACAAAAGCCAATGCCTTTCAACGTTGTGAAAGTTGATCGCTGGTTTTTCTCATTATGCAAACATACAAAGTGAAAATCAGTCAGAGCTCCTACTCTGCAATGAGCCCCATTTTGTGTTGAACATTTCGGATTTTTGATGAAAAATGTGATGTGTCCAACACATGACTTTCCTATCTAGTTATTATAGGCTTTTTCCGGTTATTTTGTACAACCTATTGTAACACCTCTATAAATGTTTAGAGGATATACTAAATATATACATTTTCCACATACATCTAACTCGAAACATTTTTCTATAGATATTCATTGAAAACGAAAATACTGAAAAATTTAAATTTAGCACTTTTCCTCCAATTTTTCCATTACGGTCCATTTTAGAAAAATCATGTAAAAACAAAAATTATAGATATAGATATCGCAAACAACTTTTAGTTAAACAATTTTCTCAAAAATCAGAATTTTGCACATTTTGTCAAATTTCTCGAAATTTCAGGAAAATTTGACATAAAACAAAAATTATAAATAATAATAGAAGTAATTTTTATTTGGATAATTTTCTTTAATTATAAATAACAGATATATTTCATAAAACATAAAAACGGTCTCCCATAAAGTACCCCTCCTGTTTATTGCTATCGAATAAATCGTAGAGTTTTTAACGTATTTTTTATTATAAAAAGATGAATGACAACGATATTAATTCATGACATTAAACAATTTATGACAACTAAAAAAAAATATAGGGTGATTCTTAACATGCCCCCCGCCTTGAAAGATCAGCTTTCAACTGGTAATGGACATATCTTTGATACCGGTCTAGTTATGTTTCCATTGCTGGTTCTGATGGTCACAACTCTCTTAATACCATCTAATCCTGGCTTGAACTCTAAAACTAACTTCCACTTAGTTGCTGGTAGATGATCCTCTTTTATTACGACCAGCTGACCTTGCTTAAGAGCTTCTTGAGATTCTTTCCATTTTGACCTTATTTGTAACTCGCTGATATACTCTTTACTCCAACGCTCCCAGAAGTGCTGTTGCATTTGTTGGATATGGTTGTATAAAGACAATCGATTTTGAGGCTGATTTTTTAGATCTACGTCAGGAACCGTTTGCAATGTTCTACCAATTAAAAAGTGTACCGGAGAAATTGCAACCAAGTCGTTTGGGTCAGTAGATAGAGGAAAAAGAGGGCGAGAATTAAGTACAGCTTCGATTTGTAAAAGTAAAGTTTGCATATTCTCGTAGGTTAATAAAGTATTTCCAATAATTCTTTTAAGGTGGCGTTTAACACTTTTAATACCTGCCTCCCAAAGCCCCCCAAAATTCGGAGCGTTTACTGGTATAAAATGAAACCTTATGTTTATATTGGCTGCAGCATCAGAAATTTTCTCGATATTTTCTTTAAAAAAGGAGTAAAGTTCCCGCATCTCTCTACATGCCCCGATAAAATTAGTGCCATTATCACTATAGATATCTGACGGTATTCCTCTACGAGATGAAAATCTACGTAAAGCTTCAATAAAGGACTCTGAACTTAAAGAGGTAACTAACTCTAAATGTACCGCCTTTGTTATAAAACAAACGAAAAGACATAACCAAGCTTTGAATGATTTTGCGCCTCTTTCTTTACGATCTTTTAACAATAGGGGTCCAGCGTAATCGACACCAGAAACGGAAAATGGTGGTGCAATTTTGACCCGATTTTTAGGTAAATTACCCATTATTGGTTGCAGAGGTTTTGAGTCAAATCGAGCACAAACCACACAGTTTCTTACGACTTTTTTCGCTAAATTACGACCTCGATGTATCCAAAACTGGTCACGGCTATTAGCTAAAACTAATTGCGGACCAGCATGCAATAATTCAATGTGCACGTGCTGAAAAATCAGGTAACTTAAGCGATGATCTGGTGATAATAATGCTGGATGCCGTTTTTCATAGGGATAATCAGAATTGCTTAGCCTTCCACCAACTCTAATTATACCGTTAGGATCTAGGAATGGATTTAAACTTAATATTTTACTGTCTGCTTTTAAAGGTTTTCCCTTTTTGAGTCTTAATTCAATTGAGTACTTTTCATTTTGACTTAATCATACAAGTGCTGTCATAGCAGTACTCAGTTCATTTACGGTCAAAAACTTACTTTTCTCTCTTTTACAATTTTTAACAAATCTCAAGAGAAAGGCCATTGTTCTTTTAATTTTAATTAGATTAGAAAACCGAGAAAATGGGAATAATTCACCTACAACAGTAGTTGTATGACATTTGCGAATTTCCGGTATGTTCGACATATCGAGTTTTAAATTTGGCCATTTGGCCTCATCGTTCATAAGCCATACAGGGCCATTCCACCAAAGACTATAGTCTGATAATAATTTTGGATTAACACCTCGCGATATTAAATCTGCGGGGTTGTCAGTTGTCGGAACGTGACGCCACTGGAAATGTTTTGTTACTTCTTGGATTTCAGCAACACGGCTGTTTACGAATGGCTTTAACAAACTTGGAGGCGTTCGCAACCAACATAACACTATAGTAGAAGCACACCAGCATATGACTCTACTTATGTTCTTGTTTAGTGAGCTCATAACTTTGTCAAGTAGTTTTGACATTTTCAAAGCGCCCATTAATTCCAATCGTGGCATCGTTATAACCTTTAAGGACATACTTTTAATTTAGCTGTCAAAAGTTTGACAGTTACTTCATTTTTAACATTTTTCGATTTTACGTAGATGTAAGCTCCGTAGGCCTTTTTAGAAGCATCCGAGAAACAATGTATTTCAATTGTACTTGGATCCTGCCCAGTGACTTGACGTGATATTATCAGTTGATTTAGCACATTTAAACTCGCACTAAACTCTAACCAAATATCTTTTATATGAGCTGGTACAGTATCATCCCAACCTATCTTTTCCAACCAGAGCCTTTGTAATAAACATTTTGCTACGATAATACAGGGACTGAGTAACCCTAAAGGGTCAAAAATCGTTGCAATTCTACCTAAAATGTGACGTTTTGTTAATTTGGTTGTGTCGACATTACTAATTTTGTACATTAATGTATCGTTTTGGGTCGACCATGAAAGACCTAGTACTTTACTAGTTGCTTGATTGTTGCCAGCATGAAATTCTAAAATATCGCATGTGGCACCAATTGTTGGAAGTACCTCTGGAAGATTTGACTTCCATTTTCTTAGGTTAAAATTGGCTTTAGATAAAATACTTGAAACTTCTGAACAAATTTGTTTTGCTTGCTCAATTGTATCTGCTCCCGTCAGCAGATCATCGACGTACATATCACGCATAATAATAGATGCAAATTCGGGTTTTGTATTTTTAAACTCGTTGGCTATTTCATGTAAGCAACGTATGGCGAGAAATGGAGCAGCCGCGTGTCCATATGTAATGGTATTTAACGTATAACTTTGAATTTTTTGGTGAGGATTTTCTCTCCACAGAATTTTCTGTAAGCGCCTTTGTGCTGGATTTATCCAAACACATCGATACATCATCTGCACGTCAGATGATATAACTACAGAGTAAAATCTAAATCTTACCAAAATTGAAATGAGATCATCTTGAATGGTTGGGCCTACCATTTGCAAATCATTTAACGAAATGCCTGTTGTAGTAGGTGCCGACGCGTTGAAGACGACCCGAAGTTTCGTCGTAGAACACCGTGATGTGGCATGTAATATTCGATATCGTCTGAATCTTTGTTATTTAAAGACATATGTCCTAATTTTTCATAATCTCTAAGAAATTAAACGTATAATTTTCTGAGTTTTTCGTTTAATTGTAACCGTTTTTCCAATTGCAAAAAACGTTTTAATGCTAAAGTTTTTGAGTCGCTTAATTGGTCTAAGTCTCCCTTAATGGGAATAGATACTATATATTTACCGTTTTCATCTCGCATTACAGTGTTTTTAAAAATTTTCTCGCATTTTTTCTCTTCTTCAGAGAAAAGTTTTCCTTTATCAATTATTTCCTCGATTTCCCAAAATTTGATTAATACATTATTTAACTCAACATTGTTTGTATCAAGATTGCTTATTAGCTGACAAACTGTTTTATTATTATTAAATGGTTCGTTAAAAGGCCCTGCTACTATCCAGCCTAATTTCGTACTCTGTAAAAGTGGTAAATTTTTTCCCAGTCGAATTTGTTCCAAGTTCTATTAAATCCCAAAATACATCCACTCCTTATAATATATCTATCTCTGATGGGCTATAAAACTTAGGATCGGCTAGCTTTATTTTTGCAGAGATTCTGAATTGAGAGATACTGAGGTTTCGTTCTGGAAGACAACCGGTAATTTTATCTATTACAAAGCACACAATTTTAAATTCAAAATCAGATACTGTCGATTTTAGTTTTAATTCGCATTTATATTCGGTAAACGAAATTGACTTATTTAAACCACTTACTGCTAAATTGGTTTTAATTTTTGGAAGATTCAGTTTTTCGCTTAGATGTTTGGTTATAAAACTTGATTGCGATCCGCAATCTAGCAACGAACGTACTATATGATTCGTATTTGGAATACTTAGTAATGCTGTAGAAAGAACTGCACCATTTACCATCTTGTAATTATCAGATGTGTCAGTAGCCAATGCACAAGTAGAGGTAGAGGCTGAATCTTCCACCTCAACTTCTGCATTCGCATTCTCACGATCGGTAACTACAAACGCTTTTTGGGATGTTTGGTCTA